ATTTTCCCAAGCTCCACAGCAAAAAACTCTGAGCAAGCAATAGCTATTCCAGCCCAAAGTTCCAAACACTTCCACAGGCCTACCCAAAACACCACAGTCAGGTCTGTCACAGCAATATCCCACTCTCTGGTACCAATCTCTGTCCTAGTTTGTTTCTTCATTGCTGTGACAAAATACTCTGACCAATACCAACTTGGGGAGGAAAGGGTTTATTCAGCTTACAACTCCCAGGTTGCAGTTCATCAGGGAGCCCAAGGTAGGAGGAACTCAGGGCAGGAACCTGGAAGCAGGAGCTGGAGCACAGGCCATGGAGGAATGCTGCTTACTGGCTTGCTCTCCTGGCCCCTGCTCAGCCTGCTTTCTTATGCAACATAGGCCTACCTGCCCAGGGATGGCACCACCCACAGTGAGTTGGGCCCTCCCACATCACTTTTCAAGAAATTGCCCCTCAGACATGGCCACAGGCCAGTCCAATAGAGGAAATTCCCCAATTGAGGTTCCCTCAGCCCAGGTGTGTCAAGTTGACACTAAAGATATCCAGCACACCATGCCTCCCCCTCCCCCACCAAACCCTATGCACTCTGCCATACATGCTGAGTCCTATTCATTCAGGTGTTTGTACCCAAATGTCCTTCAGTGTACATGCATCCTCTGAAGTCTAGTCAGCCCATCCAGCGGCTGTATGTAAGTCACACTCTCCCTCACCCAGCAGCAATCAGTCTCAAATAGTTCTTGACCTGCCACCTATTGCTCACTTCCCCCTTTGGGCCCTTGTTAAATTGAGCTGACGTGAGTCTTGCATTATATGTCACTGCTGCTGCAGGCACACATGAGCAAGCCTCCATTGGCCTGGAAGCCTCCACCTCATACATTCACAAACCAGCCCTGGCTCTTACAATCCTTCCGCCTCCTCTTCTAAAATGGTCCCTGAGACATGCATAGGTGGGTGAGGTTCCATACAAGAGTCCCAACCTACCATCTAAATCTCTTAGTCTCCAAAACTTGGCCAGTTGAGGCCTTGTGTATATAACACACTCTGATGTACATGGAAGCCTCACTGGTGAGAGTTGAGGGGTGCAGTAGCCCTCTCTCTACCCCTTATTCTGCCATGTTCCATGAGTCTTGATTGTAGGTATTCCACTGCAGATGTGTCATCTAATACCAGGATCCTCCCAGGTATATGCCTTCTATGGCTGACCAGATGTGCAACTCTGAGGAAACCTCCATCTGTTGCAGAAAGAAGTTTCTTTGATGAGTGCTGTATTGCCTCTTTGTCACTCTAAGGGTGGTCTCTTCTATCTGGCACTGCATTCCCTTCCAAGCAGCTCCTAAGTATATGTATCATTAATATTCAGACAGTCTATGTACACTTCTCATGGGGTTTCTAGGACATCACTTTTCCCTCTAGGTTTCCTAGCCAACCCCCCCCAAGATTCACTCATCTCCACTCTTTTCTCTCCCATCCAGCCGTTTGTCACTCTAAGGGTGGTCTCTTCTATCTGGTACTGCATTCCCTTCCAAGCAGGTCCTAAGTATATGTATCATTAATATTCAGACAGTCTATGTACACTTCTCATGGGGTTTCTAGGACATCACTTTTCCCTCTAGGTTTCCTAGCCAACCCCCCCCAAGATTCACTCATCTCCACTCTTTTCTCTCCCATCCAGCCTCCCTCCTCCCTCCCTTCCTAGTCATGGTGCTCCCATTATTCCCACCCTCCCCCCAATACCTCTCAGCTCCCACCATCTTTCTGTTCCTGACTTCTGTCCCTCCCCCACACCGTGGTCCTTTGCATGTCCCTCCCTCCTCTCCTTCCTCCTGATTACTCATAATTTTTCCACCTCCCTCAAGTAGCATCTGTTCCCTACTAGCTCCCTTTCAGGTTGTTTCTTTTCCTTTACCTCCATGTATCTTTTACCTTTACCTGGCTCCTAGTGTTACATCAGAATTTATATACTCACATAGAAGATGTAAGGGATTGGTGGTACAGTCCACAAATGAGGGAAAACATATGTCACTTGCTTTTCTGGGTTTGTGTTACTTCACTTAGTGTAACACTCTCTAGCTCCATCCATTTACCTACAAATTTCATAATTTCATCTTTTCTTACTGCTGAGTAGAACTCTATTGAACAGATGTACCACATTTTCATTAACCACTCATCAGTTGAGAGACATTTAGGTTGTTTGAATTTCTTAGCTATTGTGAAGAGAGCAGCAACAAACATGGATGTTCAGGTATTTCTACAGTGTGGTGAGTCCTTTGGGTATATGCCAAGAAGTGGCATTGATGGATCATATGGTAGGTTCATTGAGGGTTCTCCACACTGCTTTCCATAGTGGTTGCAGGAGTTTGCATTCCCTTCAGCAGTGAATGAGCATTCCTCTTTCCCCACATCCTCTCCGGCATTTGGAGTCTTCCATTCTCTTGATTTTGACCAATCTGACTGGAGTAAGATGAAATCTTAAAGTGGTTTTGATTTGCATTTCTGTAATTACTACCGAGGTTGAGCACTTTTTAGGGTGCTTCTTAGCCATTTTTATTTCTTTGCTTCAGAACTCTCTGTTTAGGTCTATTGCCCATCTTTTTATTGGGTCGTTTATCTTCTTATTTCTTTCTTTTTTGAGTTCTTAATATATTCTGGATATTAGGCCTCTGAAGGATGTGGAAGATTTTCTTCCACACAGTGGGTTTCCTCTTCCC